AGCCTACTCTCTGCACCAACTCCCTCAGTCTTGATTGCGTGGTGACTACATGGGTGTATCCACATGTGAAGTTCACCGAGCTGTATCTTAAGGATTTGTGCACTGTACTAATGTAAAAGAAACATTAAAAATCAAGGGAAGACCTATGTTAATGTGTAATTCATCATGTAATTATAATAATATTACAGCTGCCATGGTTTTAAAGCATCTGGCCCATCATTAGATTGTAAGCAACCTGAGGGCAAAGACCATCCCTTGCACTTCATGCATGACTCTGCCTTGTGTGTAGGGCATGCTCAGCCCCTGGCAGGGACACCACCGATGGGCCCTGTGAAGAGAAGGCCTGTGCTGTTAATGACTCACTCCTAGGGAAAGCACCCACGTCAAGTCATAGGCAGAAGACAACACCTTAGCAAAAATTATGCATTTGACCTGCATGACATTAATCACCTGGCTTACAAAATGAATCTATCTCAGTGTAAGGTTTTTCCCAATCCTCTAAGAGCTGGTGTCATTATGTTAATTCTATTGGTGGCTGCTAGAAATTTTGTCTTGATGTCCAGGTATTTGAAGAGGAGTACGAAAGCGACACTGACATTTTCAATTCATGCTATGTGACCACTGGTATTTATAGTTCATTCTTTACTTTTTCTGGTTTCCTAGAAACACATCTTTCCAATTCACTGACTTTGAAGACTTTATTTTCTTCTCCAGGACATTACATCCATCATAGCCCATGACCCTCGATCTCCTCCCCAACTAGCTCCTTTGAGCTTGAGAACTGACTCTTGCTTTCTGTCATCCAATCCGGAGACTTCTATGGGAATTGTTAATAGGTCCTCTTTCTACAGACATCTCCAGCTGCCAGGGCCTTAGTCTGTAGGGTGCCTACCTATCTGTTCTGGCTATTCAGCAGAGTCCTTGCTATGTTTTAACATTCTAATTTCCAACAATGATCTTTAGAATCTCATCTAATAGTTTATCGGCCAATTGATAAATAAACAAGATATTATCCTAGTGGTTAATGTACAAGATGGATATTAAAATCCTATTTCTGCTGCAGCTCCAAGAAGAAGTCAGAGGATGTGGGTCAGACTCTAAGTTTCCCCAAATCCACCATTAGAATAATTCTAAAGGATATAAAGGAGATCCCACATCAGCCAATAAAATCCCTATTGGTTGATTAACTTGGACGTTGATAATAGGGTGTAAATGAGAAATCTGGCTGCAGAGGGACAATGATCTAATAATCTTCTCATCTAGCTGTGTAATTATTATTACTCTTGTTACTGTTGTCTTAAGTGATGCACTCACAGTTCGTGGGTCAAGTTTTTCCTTGGAATGAGTGTTCTGATCTGTGAATCAGTTCCCTGCATATGCGACTTATCATGGTGAATTATATAGACCTGGAATGCCGGCAATCAGAGTGCTATAGCAGAGACAACCACCAAGGAAGAGTGGAAGTGTGCTTGGGTGCTTGCCAAGGTTCTTTCAGAAGCAGGCAGCTGGGCCATAGGGTCCCCTTCAGCCTGCCATGTTAGAATGGACTTGGATTCTCCTACTGAGACTCAAGGGCACATGCTCCACAGCCTGACTGTCACTTTCCTAGCCTCCATCAACACCTCACTGGGCTGCAGTAATTCTCAGTGGGAGGGGGATGGGTGAAGGAGAACGAACAAGCCCACACAGCGCCCTCCGACTGAATCTAGAAAAGGGGTAGCCCTGTTGTTAGTTGAAGCACTCCCTCAAGCTGCTGCCACCCCCCTCATTTCTCACCTATACAGATGCTAACACATGTTCTTCAACAGATTTGTGCCACACTCCCCGACACCCACTCTCAAGCATAGACTGTGAGGGGCCTCAGAGTGAGCTCAGGTGGGTGGAGCAGAATTCTGTGGGAGGCTGCCAGAAGGCATGCATTGGTGGTAAGAGTATTAAGGCAAAGAGGAAGTAAGAGAGAGAGGAAGCAATCAAAAAGGCAAGTAGTGCCAAGTAACTAAGAGACCATGGAAAACATTCAAAATATAACACTTTCCTTAATGAGATTTGTTAATAGTTTCTTGAAGCTAACCGAACAGGATTTACAGACTGGCATTAATAACGATGACAACCACCTTTTCCCAAGCTTGAGACACCTCTGATTCTGGAGGTCTACTATTGCAAAGGCTTGGCTCCTTCCAGTATCAACATGATTTGTCAGGGAATCACATTTAAAAAAAAAAAAAAACATGTTGAGTTGAATACTTGTATTAAACCAAAAAGCACCAGGAAAACTAAGTTTATGTTCTAAATTTCAATTTTTAAAGAAATCCAACAATATTTGTACATTAGCCCTAAAGTCTACTAATGTGGATTCGTATCAATAAAGGCTATAAACATCATTTGGCTTTGTCGTATGTTCTTACAGTTAGCAAGGAAGAAAAAATTCTACTGCAAGCACAATTACAAGATAAAAGGCTTAAAATGATATTCAAGTTGCTAGGGCTAATTTACCTTTTCATTAAGAATTAAAGATATATTATTATTAAACACCAATTAAAAACTTGCCCTGTGTTACTCAGGCCAGACATCAAGAGACTGGGTTTATTAAAAGATAATCCTGGGGGCACCTGGGCAGCTCAGTCGGTTAAGTGTTCAATTCTTGGTTTCAGCTCAGTTCATGATCTTGTGGTGGTGAGATTGAGCCCCAAGTCTGGCTCTGCACTCAGCACAGGGTCTGCTTCAGATTCTCTCTCCCTCTCCTTCCCACTTACTCTTCCCATCTCTCTCAAATAAATAAATAAAATATTTAAAAAAAGGATAATCCTTAATAACTGAAGCCATGAAATGTAACCTGGATCATACCTATTCCTCCTCACTCTTCAGGTACCCTGAGTTCCAAGCCTACTTTCTGCACCAACTCTCAGTGTTCCTGCCTCAGCACCTCTTGATTTTGTCTGAGAATTTGGTGGGAGTACTCTCTGCTCTTCCACCTGAAGCAGGAAATTGCTGCTGGGGGAGCTTCCTATGAGAGCAAAACTTTTCCCTGCAATGCTGATAGGGGCGAGGGGTGTGGTACGAACTGCCTAGAATAGATCCTGGGCCTTGGGTCCCACAGCCTTGGGCCTACAAACTCATGGTGTGGAAACCAATAGCCTCCTACCTCACATCTGCATTCCAGCCTGCTGAGTGATTTCACACACTAGCTGGCAATTCCTAAGCCTGCCATAAAACCAACCGGGGATTCACCTCATCCATCACTGGACTGTGGCTGCCTTTTGAGAGCCACAGCAGGGATGGAAGGGTGTTCCTTAGCCAGGGCTAAATAAGTCAGTGAAGAGATCCGCTCTCAAATTCAAACCCTGGAAAACAAAATGCAGGAGACGCAGATCTGCAGTTCAAGATGGGCCCCAAACATTGAGGGAGCTCGATTCAGGTCCTTCTTCACAACTAACTAGCTGTGTGACTTTGGGCAGGTTACCTAATCCCATAAACCTGTTTCCTTCTCTGTAAAACGGGGATAACAAAACTGACCTTATAGGGTTGGGGAAGATTTAAAAGAAATGATCCACACAATCCAATGTCTTCTATGTAAGAAGTGCACCAAATGTGAACTCCTTCTGTGGGACAGCAGTTAAGAACCAAGGGTATGATGCCAGACTATTTGGGTTCAGATCCCTGTCCCTACCACTGAACAGCTTAGGGCACTGGATCAATTATGTAACCTCTGTCTCAGTTTCCCCATCATTAAAATGGGGTTTATCACAACATAAAGTACATATCCAGTAAACACTAGCTATTTTGAAAATTTCATAGTGAGCCTGTGTTTCCAGTGCAACCAGTAGTATAGTAGTGAATTAAGTGGGAGTTTATGTATCAATGAGGTGAGAGTAATAGAAGTGTATTTAAAAAAAAAAAACTCAGGAAGACGTTGCAGGCTTTTATGATTTTTTTTTTTCTGGGCAGAGTCAAGCTGTGATGCAAAGGGTGGGGCTAAACTGTAATATGAAGAAAAAAAAACTAAAGAGGGAGAATAACCACCCACCAGGGAGCTATTTCTTTTGTAATGTACATTCCATTTCTTCTCCCTCATGCTTTTTAATTCCTTCCACATTTCCTGCCATAATTATCAAATGTTTGGTTTCTGACCTCACTCTTCTGGAGACTGGAGCCCAGGGAATTTGGAATTGTTTATTTTCTGTCCATAAACCTTTGAGTTAATGGAGGGGCTTGTGAGTGCAGGGTTTGTTGGTTTGTTTGTAGTGTCTCAGGAAGGTCACTGAAGTTGAAAGGAAAACATTACCCCCCCACACAACAAAAAAGCGCTGAAATACTTTGGAAACGCGGAGCCCCCCAAAGAGCAGAGCAATGGACCTCTTAACACTTGCGCAACGCTGGATTAAGGGGAAACTGAGATGTTTAAAAGGCTGTTATATGGCCCTGATAGGAACACAAGATCCGAGGGCACTTTACAAAGGAAGGAAAAAAAAATTCTGGGGACTCATAATCTTACTTTATAAAAAAAAAAAAAAAAAAAAAAAAAAAAAAAAAGAAAGAAAGAAAAGAAAAAAAGCATTCCGCCCTAAAGAAGAATCTCCCCACCACCCCCCTTCCCCCCTCTTTTCCCCAGAGGGGTCAGCCTGGGAAGCAAAAAGCCCCCAACTATTCTCGATTTCCTCTTAAGTCAAGGAAAGAACTGCAAGGCGCCTTTTTGGACTCGGCTGCGGCCGGGCTCCCCCCCCCCCCCCCCCGCCGCTCGCCCCGTCTCTCCCTCCCGCCCTCCCTCCACCCTCGCCGCCGCGGGGCTCCCGCTCGGGGCCCCAACTACTTTTCCCGACCCGGAGGTCGGAGTTTCGCAAGTAGCATTTCTGCTCGCAGCGCCCCCTCGCCCCACGCCGGGAAACTCCCAGTCCCAGCCCGGGGTGTGGCGTGGGATGGGGCGGGATGGGGGGGGTCCCCGGGGCGCCCTCCCCCGCGGGGCGCCGCAGCCCGACCTCCCACCTCCGCGGCCGCTCCCCTACCTCGGCGTGGACCCAGGCGACCGCCACCAGCGCCAGCGCGAGCCAACGTGTCCACATCTGCGGAAGACAGAGCAGCGAGGCTGAAGGCGCCGGCCCCCCCGCCCCCCGGGAAACTTCGCGGGGTCCCGCAGGCCGCCCCCGCCCCGCGCGCCCGCGCTCACCGTGGTCCCGTCCCGGGGTCTCCGGAGGGCGCGGGCCAGGGCGGCTGCGGCGAGCTCGGGGGGAAGCTGGCAGCTCCGCGGCGCGGCAGCCTCCGAGGAAAGCCGACCTGCGCTCGCCGCCCCTTAAGACCCCTCCTTCCCCGACTGCCGGCCCCCCAGCTCCTCCCCGTTCTCCTCCCCCTTCTGCAGCAGCGGCCTCCCCGCCCCTCGCTCTGGGGAGCCCGCGTGCGTCCTGGCGCCGCCCCATCGCCTTGTGCTCGGGCCCCCGGGACGTGCAGGCGGAGGGGGAGGGGGAGGGGAGGACAGGGGGGAGGGGGGAGGGCGCCCCCCGCGGCTGGTGGCTGCAGAGCCCGCGGCTCCGGAGCCCGGGCGTCCGCGCCCAGCTAGCGCGAGGAGGAGCGCGCAGGGCCCGGAACGCCAGCCCGCGCGCGGCTTGCACCGTGAGCCTCCTGGGGGACAGGTGGGAGCCGTACCCCTCTGCTGAGGTCTGCACCCCTGCGTTCGCCAGCACCCGTCCTTCCCCGAGGTTCGAGAGCGGAGGCCCCCTCCTCCCTTCGTGCGCCCCCCTCCTCCCCATCACCTGTGCCCTTGCTCCCACCCTTGTCATCCCAGGTGCGCTCCCGTACCGGCTTCCCATCTGCACCGGTGTCACCCCAGGGGCCCTCAAACCTACGCTGCCTCTGAAGGTGTGAACCCAAAGCCCTCGCAGCGGCTCGTGTCTGGGGTCCCCGGTGCTGAGAACAGTCCACGCGGCAGCTCAGATTTAACAGCCCCGCCTGCCCACCTGGGTCGGGGGACGCCATCAGAACGGTCCCCCCCACACACACACACACACACTTCCCAGACCCTGCTTTCACTTTTCTGGCACTTTTCCCCTGTGAGGGAAAAGTCACTCACCGCCACTCCCATTTCCACCTCGGTAGTAGGCCAGACCTCCATCCTTCCTCACTCGGGGATTCTGGAAACCACCTCTGGTTGCTTTCCAGCTCCGGGCGCTCTTCCCCTAAGTCTCCACTGCAACCGTCATTTCTCTACCTGATTTAGACACTGTCTTCTCAGGCTCTTCCCCCTCCCCTGGTGCAGCGCTCTTCTTCCACGTGCATCCAGTCTCTCCAACTTTCTTGAAAGTCTTCCATTACTGGGGCCAACCTCTTTATCTAACTGTACTTCAAGCACTTAATAGACTCCCTTTGCTCAAGTCAGGCCAGTGTTGTCATTGTCCTCTGAACTTTTCATATTCATTGGTTTGTTGGGTGCCTACTGTTGCGGATTTTAAGGGGTTCCAGATAACACCCATATTCCCCACGCAGGTTCCCAGTCCATTGGGATAGCAGCTGGAGTCCGGCTGATGGAAAGGAAAATCTCAGCTTTGTTCCGGGCTGGCCCTGGAAGGGGGGCCTTGGCTTTAGATCTGCGAGGACAGCGGACCTGCAGGTACTCCACCCCAGAATAAATAAAAGAAGACCTGTTCAGTGGCTCTTGTGGAACCTAACAGCCCCAAGCGGAACTGGACAATTTGCTGTGTAACATTGGGAAGCCGGGACTGCCCTTCTATCCCCTAAGACTGATGGAGGGCTGGAGATGCAGAGGGACCTCTTTGGTAAAAATCTGCTTTTGTAAAATTGACTGCGGTTTTATAGTTTCTGGAAAAGCAGAAAACACATGATTTCTAGGGCAGGCAAGCTCCCCAAACTTGAGGAGTAAGAGCGACACATATTCAGTTCCTCTTTCAAGCTCACCAGACAACTAATTCCTGCTTCCTTGATACGGAAAAAAGAGAAGTATGGAATAGATGTCCTCCCTGCCCTCTGTCCCAGTCTCTGTGCTAGGGATTGAAGGGAAATGTGATATATATAAGGCTTTGCTCCTGCCCTCTATAGCTCACAATACTTTTTATCCCTCACACTTGAGCTGCATTTCCTCAGAATCTGGCATGATCTCCTTTCTTCTCTTCTTCCTTGTGTCTGTTCAAAGTCAAAGTCTGTCGTTCTCTCCCCAGGACACAAATGAAGTTTCTTTGCTTTTCTAGCACCATTTCTGACAGCAACTTGGCATAGTGGAAAGCTCATGAGGTTTGAGGTCTAACAAACCTGGCTTTCAATGTGCTCACTACCACTTACTAGCTGTGTGACCTTCATTAAATTACTTAAGTTCTCTGAACCTAGGTTTCTGCATCTGACAGATAGCAATGATAATGCCCTGCAGAGGGTTGTGAAATGTAAATGTGGTAGGTTATAGAAAGTGCTGGGCCAGTAGTAAACATCTATAAATGGTAGCCATAATTTCATTGACCTGCTTTGCATCTGAGTTGCAGTTGATACTCTGTACTAGGTACTATAGAGCCATTCAACATGTCTATTTTACTTAATTATCATAACAAATCGAAAGGCATTTTTTTAATTGCTTCCATTTTCCAGATAAGGAAACTGAAGCTCAGAAAAATTTGGATACCTGTCCAAGGTTAACAGTTGACTATACAGCCTTACAACTTGGCTTTTAATTGCATATTGTTATGAGATGTTTAACACTTGTTCACATAGTTTTTGTTCTTGATTCTCTGGCTAGATTTTAAGATGCTTAGGACATAAACAGTTTTTCCCCCCTTGTATCTTCTTTCTATGTTTGGGGCATGATCAATCAATTTGATTTTATCAAAATTACAGACTCCTTTTCAGGCAAGGGCACCATAGAAAAAAATGATAGATTAGGAGATACTCAATATCTTTTTTTAAAATTATTTATTTATTTATTCATGAAAGACACACACACAGAGACAGAGAGAGGCAGAGACATGGGCAGAGAGAAACAGGCTCTATGCAGGGAGCCCGATGTGGGACTCGATCCTGGGACTCCAGGATCCCACCCTAGGCCAAAGGCAGACACTCAACTGCTGAGCCACCCAGGGGTCCCTCAATATCTTTTTTTAAAAGATTTTATTTATTTATTCATGAGAGACACAGAGAGAGAGAGAGAAGCAGAGACAGAGGCAAAGGGAGAAGCTGGCTCCATGCAGGAAACCTGATGTGGAACTCGATCCCAGGACCCCAGGATCACACCCTGCGCCGAAGGCAGACGCTCAACCCCTGAGCCACCCAGGGATCCCTGGGAGATACTCAATATCTAAAACTGACATGGAACTCCTAGTAAGTGCAATAGAAGTGTAACTCCTGGAAATCAGTAAGAAAAAGACTGGAAATGCAATAGAAGAATGGTCAAAGGTATGAACAGGCAGTTCCCCCAAAAAAGGAGTCCCAAGTGACCAACAAGTGGAGAAAGGATGTTCAAAATCACTGTTATTTAAACTGCACTACAATCCTATGAAATCAGTATTATTACCTCCATTTTACAAGTAAGGAAATTGAGACGTAGAGAGTTTAGGTAGTTTGTCCAAGGTTATACACTAAATGGTAAATATTGCTTTATAATCATTGCAGAGGCAAAAATTAGACAGTTGGACAACGCTAAGTGTTAGTATGTGGGTAGTGCAGTCTTTGTGTATTGCTGTGATTAAGAGCATGGATTTAGAAGCCAGATTGTTGGTAGTAAATCTTGGCTTAACTACTTACTATGTAACCATGGGCAAGCTACATACCCTCTCTGCATCTCCGTTTCTTCACTTGTGAAGTGGGGATAATAATAGTACTGATTCCATAGGGTAAGGTTATTGTACAGATCAAATGTGCATATGTAAATTACTTTTAATAGTGCCTCGTACCTAAGCTTATAATTATTGTATGATACTAAGGGAGTGATTCAATAGAAGGTCCTTGCAGGTACTAATGATAATTCTGTGCTACAGAATGGTTAATGTAACTCTCTGCAATAAACAAAAAGCAAAACAGATAACGGTAACAAAACAAACTGCATAAAGGAGTTGACAGTTTTAACAGTGAGGAAGTTTTTTGGTTGCAGGTAATAGAGAAGCTGACTTAAGTAAATGGTACTTATTGGCCACATAGCTGAGAGATCCAGGAGGTACATTTGGCTTCAGGAAAGACTTCATCCAGGAACTCAACTAAGGTCACCAAGGACCCAGTTTCTTGCTATCTCTTACCTTTATCTTAAACAATCTTATTTCACCCCTGGGTTTCACATAATTGGCTTCTGGAAGTTTCCAGTCTATGCTCTGAGGGTGAGCAATTGGCTGTAGTGCTGGCCTCCTCATGCCCTTGGACCACACCATCTGGATGAAGGAGAGAGCCTCTTTTGGGAGCTGCTACAAAAGTCCTAGGATTTTTTTTTTAAGATTTTATTTATTTATTTATGAGAGACACAGAGAAAGAGAGAGCCAGAGACATAAGAAGAGGGAGAAGCAGGCTCCCTGTGGGGAGCCTGATGCGGGCCTGGATCCCAAGACCCTGGGATCATGACCTGAGCCAAAGGCAGATGCTAAACCAGTGAGCCACCCAAGTGCCTCGGATTCGTGTTTTTTAAAGTCTAAATCCAGTTTCTTAACATCCTCATGCTGATCACTGTGAGTAGGGGCCTGGGCTGGGCTTGACAGGCTTAAGCCAATACAGACGACTCAAAAGAAAATCATACTAATGTCAGGAAAAGAAGGGACTGAATGCTGGGACTAGCCAAACAGTGTCTACTGCAGCAACAAATCACCAACCTACACTACGAACCCAGTACTCCCCTAAGAAGGGGGTGTAGGTTCCCCAGAGGGCATGAGAAAAGAATATTAGAACTTCTATTTTTACTTATTTCCAATCCAAAAATAGAAATTGACTTTGCAAATAAGTAGATAGACTCTGGCGCCCATATTTAATCCATATGTCAGGCAGTCATGAGTTATGCTCCATTGCCAAGTACCATGAGGAGAGTGGGTGTTCTCCCACACAAAAAGATCGACAACAGCTAGTTCCTTTTAACATATTGTAATAGACTGCAGTGTGCCCACTTAAATGGATTTACATATTATACTATTTAGTTTTAATTAAACTAGATGAAAAACATTTTGGCTCTGAAATCATAAATTGAGGATACAGTTTTTCTATTAATAAGAAAAGGGCAGAGCTGACATGTTTGCTACTTCCAAAAAGAGTTGTCTTTCATATAAACAAGGCAAAAACAATAACTTGATCATGTCTGACAATAAGTCAGTCAAAAAACTCGGGAGTAACAAT